AAAAATTAATTTTTGATAAAATAATTTATAATATGCATGTTTAGCTTTTGTGTTTTCTATTTATTATATACATTGATTAACAAAACAAAATAGGAAGTTTGGAAGATTTATGTTCTATTTAAAAATTTTATTATAAAATATATTTTAAATAAATTATCATCTAAAAATTTATATTATATATGTTAAATTATTATAAAATATGTCTTTAAAATTGTAGTTCTAACTAAATATTAAAAAAAATATTTATGACAGATAAATAAATCATATCTAGGACATATATTTAAAAACAATTGGTTTAAACTTATTAAATTATAATATAATTTAGTCTGTCCTAATTTATTTTCATTCTTAATCATAATTATAGATATAAAAACTTGTAAAAATAATTATGATATATATTTATACATTTAAAAATTATATGTAAAATTTATTGTAAATATATAAATAAATATTGTCCTCACTATCTCTTATGAATCTGCATGTAATTATTCCAACAAAAAAAAAAAAAAAGATAGGCATGTAATTTAAAATAATTTATATATTCAATTACAAATCCTTGAATCATAAAGGACTATATTTCAAAATCTCTAGATAATAATCATGGATGTGGATATTAATTTAACGCGAAATTTACAACACGAGTGTGGGGAACAAAATCAGACAACGCACCTTGGCAAGGGTGTAGGCGAGCGCGGAACCGGCGACGCCGGCGCCGACGATGATGACGTCGGCGGCGCCGGAGACACGGAGAGGCGGAAGTGTGGTGGCATTGCGGCGGAGAGCGGTTGTTGTTGCTGTGAGAAGCGGCGATGCGATCGGAAGGTGGCTTGGGAAGTAGACGAGAGGAGTGTGACTGTGAGATTTTTTATAACTGAATTTGAACGCAAACTGACACGTGGCTTCGGTATCGTTTATTACTGTTTTGCGACTGTTGTTGAGTGAGTATGAGGAAAGCATTGCGGAGGAAGACCATATATTCATCAACAACATCTTTTCTCATACTAAATTGTGATTCTTAATAAGAAATATTGAAAGATTATATAGGATGATGAATAAATGCATGGTTGTTAACCAATGCAACACGTTATTTAAAGTGTATGACAAGATATCATTAAGAAAATTAAAAGTAAATATTAATGACTAAAATTAATAATTTTAAATTTTAAAAATATGAAAATTAAGAAATGTTTATTTTTCGAAAATCAAAAGTATTGATCGAAATTTTAGAGACAAAAAAAAATATAAAAATTAAAATAAAAACTCGTTAATTTTAAGGGAAACTAAAAACATCGTTAAGTTATTAAAATTTGATTCCATAATATTTTTGGAATTGAAATATTGTTTTAAAGATTTTTTCTTCTTTGTTTTAATATATAAAAATAAAATTTGTTGTTGTAATAAAGATAAACATTCATTTGTTTTTACTATTATTAATTACACTAGTTGATATAAGTGGTAATGATTTTGTGTCTCTTAATTAAGTTGTTGTGAATATTTAATATCAATATTATAATTTTAAAAAGGATAAATAATGATTTAATACCATTAATCGTAAAGTTTTTTTTTTATACATTTTTTGTATTTTTGTATTTTGAAATATATATATATATATATATATATATATAAACAATGAAGGCGTAGTTGAAAAAAAATAACGGGTAATATATTACAAAGAAAAACAACTAATTAATTGAAAAAATGTAGCTAGACTCTTAAATATAAAGTAAAATATTAAACCATGACAAAAATGACAATGGTAATATATATGTTAGTCAAGTAATTGAAGTGTCAATACAATAATTTGTGCTATTCATTTCATATATTATAAATAGAATGAAATATAAAAATATTTATAATTATCAATATAATATATTACATTTAATGAAACAAAGAAAGCTATTTTTTTTATGAATAACAAAGAAAGTATTTAATTATTCGCTTGTATAAATTTGATTTTAATAAACATGTGTTTTTATTATAAATTAAAAAATATTAATTTTACTGAAAAAAAATTATACAATTTTTAAAATCATTATAAAAAAGTTATTCAATTTAACATATGTGATAATTTATGATTATAAAATAATATAAAATCATTAAATATATTATTTGTTCTATAAATTTTTGTATATAAAAATATGAATTCTTAATTTATTACTTTATGAGTACCTCTTAGAACAAACTATTTTCCGATTAGTACAACCAATTATTGCGTTATACGAAGGATGTCCAAAATATGATCGTGATTTTACCTAGCATTATTTACGCAAGAAAGAACAGAGTTAGGATTTAATATTTGGTCCCCTAAAAAAAAGGATTTAATATTTGGAGAGAGAAATTAAAGAAAAAAAGAACTTTATCTCATAAATACACACTCAATAAAAATATAATAAATATATAAGCATAAAAATTATACAAAATATTCATAATTACAATTTTTGAAACAATAATCCACAAACATATAATAGAACATATATTTACATTAAATTAAATAATTATTACATAAATTAATCAATTTAACATATACAATAATTTATTAAATAAGTATTTATCTTATTTATTCTATAAGTGTAGTAAATAAAAAGAATAATTTTTGATCTAGTCTATTACTTTAACATCAAACCAACAATTGTGTTACAAGAGTGAACTAAATTTGACCATGATTTCACTTAGCATTTATGAAATGATGAACAAAGTTAAGATTTAACAATAACGTAGAAAAGTGGATTTCATCATATAAATATCTAATTAATAAGAATATCTAATAAATATATAAGCATACAAAACTTCTGCAAAATATTCATTATGTATTTTTAAAATTAGTGTTCCAAAAATTCATGATTTCACTTAGCATTTATGAAAGGAAGTACAAAGTTAATATTTTTCGACCATGTGATGAATTGTCAAAGGTAGACTTCATCATATAAACAAGGACGGAGCCAAGGGGGGACCTACGGGTGCCACGGCCCCCCCAACAATTTTAATTTTTTTTTATATACATATATATTACTATATGGCACCCCCTATTTTTAATATAAACTCATATGTATAATTAAATGAATAACCCAAATTTATTTTTTTATTCAACTTTTGGACTTCTGGTACGGCCTGCTATGTGGTATCACTTTGGAATTTTTTTTTTTTTAAAAAAATGTAGCGCCTCATTTGATCATTCCAATTCTCGGCCCCCCAGTATTGAAATCCTGGCTCCGTCCCTGCATATAAATATATAATTAATAAGAATATCTAATAAATACATAAGCATACAAAACTTCTGCGAAATATTCCTTGTATATTTTTAAAATTAGTGTTCCAAAAATTCATGGTTTCACCTAGCATTTATGAAAGGAAGGACAAAGTTAAGATGACGACGTGATGAATTATGAAAAGTAGACTTCATCATATAAATATTTGATTAATAAGAACATCTAATAAATATATAAACATACAAAACTTCTACAAAAGAATCATTATGTATTTTTAAAAATAGTGTTCAAAAAATATATAATATAAAATTTATTTAGATTAAAATAATTATTAGAGAAACTAATCAATTTAACATATATAATAATTTGTAATTAGATGATAATATTAAATCAATAAAAATATTATTTATTTTGTAATTTTTAAAAATAAAAGAATGAATTAACTAATTTATTACTTTAAGTATCACCTCGAACCAATAATTGAGTGATAAAAAAAATAGCCAAAATTTGATGATAACTTCTCCTAGAATTTATGCAAGTAAGGATTTAATGAATATGAAGTAACTATGGAAATTAATTAAACTCCATCTAATAAGTATATAACTAATACAAAATATAATAAATATATAAGCATAAAGATTTATAATATTAATAATTGTGTAATTTTAAAATGACCCAAGAACATATAATATAAAATGTATATACATTAAACTAAATATTAAAAAATTAGTCAATTTAACATATATGATAATTTTTCATTACAAAATAATATAAAATCAATAATATATTATTATTTATTCTGAAAATCTTGTAAAAAAAAAGAATGAATTTTAACTATTTCATTTACTTTAAGTATCTTCTAGATCCAACAATTGCATGATAAAAAAGATAACCAAAATTTGATCACGACTTCGCCTAGAATTTATGCACATAAGGACGAGGTAAGGATTTAATGAATGGAGAATACATTAAGTAAGGACAAAGTTAGAATTTAATGTCCATGGCAAAAATTATGAAAAATAAACTTCATATAATAAATATATGATTAATAAAAAATCTAATAAATATATAAGCATTAAAATTTCTACAAAATATTTATAATTATGTATTTTTAAAATGATCCAAAAAAAACATAATAGAAAATATATTTAGATTAAAATAATTATTACATAAACTAACCAATTTTACATATATAATAATTTCTAATTAGATGATAAATATAAAATCAGTAAATATATTGTTTTGGTATGTAAGTTTTGTAAATAAAAAGAATGATTTTTTTTTACCAATTCTATTGCTTTGAGTCGATTGCGTGATACGAAAGATGGCCAAAATTTGATAATGACTTGGCCTAGAATTTATGTAAGGACGAAGTAAGGATTTAATGACCAAGGAATAAATTATGAAAATTAAACTTCATCTCATAAATATATAGCTAATAAAAAGTATAATAAATGTATAAGCATAAAATTTTATACAAAATATCAATAATTATGTAATTTTTTAAATGATCCAAAAACATACAATAGAAAATATATTTACATTAAAATTATTATTACAAAATTAATCAACTTAAAATATATGATGATTTTTAATTAGACAATTATATAAAATTACTACATATATTATTTATTCTATAATTTTTAATTAAAAGAATAATTTGTAACCAAATATATTATTTTAACTACATCCTTAAGCCAACGATTGCGTGATAAGAAAGATGACCGGATCGTGACTTCTACCATTTATGCAAGCAAGAATGAAGTTTGTATTTAATGACTGTGACAGAAATTATGAAAATTAAACTCCATCTAATAAATGTATAAATAAATAAAAGTCTAAAAAACATATAACCATAAAAATTAATTCAAAATATGCATAATAATATATTTTTTTAAGTAATCCAAAAAAAATAAGTAGTTAATATATTTATATTAAAATAATTATTACAAAAATTCGTTAATTTAACACACATATATATATATATATATATATGATAATTTGTATCTAGACTATAATATAAAATTAATACATATTTTATTTATTCTATCTTTTTCAAATAAAAAGAATAATATTTAATCAAATATATTATTTTAACTACTTCCTCAGAACAACGATTGAATGATAAGATTAGGAAGGATGGCCCACATTTGATCGTGACTTCAGCTAGCATTTACGCCAAAAGGGACAGAGTTAACATTTACACTCCGAGAAATAAATAAAAATTAGGATGGAGAGAAATAGAAAAAGAGAAAAATAAGTGGTTAAAATATTTAAAAAAATAAAATAAAAATTTAATGTTTTGATTTAAGAAAAATAGATAAAAAATAGGTGAAAAATAATATTATATATATTTAATAAAATGGAAAGAAATAGACGAAAAATAAGGTATATATATATATATAAAGAATAAATAAATGAAAATAAAAAATAGATAAAAACAAGTAAAAAGAAAAGAAATAGAAAATAAAAATAAAAAACTGAGAAATAAGGTATATAAAAATAAAATAAAAAAAGAGAATTAAGAAAGGAATAAAAAATTCAAAATACAAATATTTTAATTTTATAATAATTAATTTTATTTTAGTCAATTAAATTAAAAAATTAATCGATATGTGAAAATCATTATTCGAATATGTAATGATTTTTATTCGAAGACGAGGTGTCTTAATCAAATAAATGTAAAAAATTAATGTGTCTTATTTGATGAATGGTGGTTTATTTAAATACATTTATTGTAGAACAAATTTCTTTGCTATTTCTATTCATGGAAATAAAAAGGTGGGGACCCACAACTTTTTATTTCTCTCCTCATTTATTTCT